CATCATGTACAAGCAGCCTTGCATCATGGAGGTCCTGCATGAACAAGTAATGGTTGTTAGTGCGGCTATAGAAAGCTACTCATTTTTAATCAAATTGAAGGAAGAGGAAGCATTGTGTAAAGCTGAGCAATACAGACACAAAGCTCTGTGGTTAGTAAGTTACCTTTCCCCATGCAAAACAGTCATCTAATCTCTATGGACAGTTACATAAGACAGTGTCACTCACACGGAGAATATGAGCTGGTCATCCGTATTCTGAATGCTGTATTTTCCATAGCTGTCAATGCTTCCTGCTACAATGACCACGAAAGCAGGGAAGCCTGCAAAAACAAAGGAGACAGGAGTGAAGGAGAACAGAAATCCATGAGAAAGGTGAGACAGATAGTCAGCTTGGGTTCTCTGCTTTTTTCTTTCTACTCCTGAATGTGCTGTTCTCTAGGAAGATGGGGTTTAGAGAGAGCCTCAGAGCACACTGGTTGTAGGGGGCACAACAGACAGTGCTTGGACATGATATGGAGAAAATGCAACAGCTTTTGGTAGGACGGTTTGAGTTGTGTGCACTGTTCACTAAACTTTCTGCAGGATCATTTGCTTTGTTGATGCCCAACTGTTCCTGCCCAATGGTGTGGTGCTGGGGAAAATGGGTTTCTGACAGAAGGAGATAATAAAAATCCCAGAGGACTCTCCAGGGATTTCACCTGCTTAATAAGGTAGGTAGCTTTGGTCCTCAGCAGGATGGAAGATCCTTTGTAGGAGCTTTCCCAAATCCCCCCCTGGGTAGTGTCATTCACAGCACCTAGTCCATATAAGACACTTCCTAGCTCCAGTCACAGCATGTCAGAGCTACAGAAGGGATGAGGCTCTTTCTCTCCTCCCCTCACTATATAGACCTATTCTTCTTCTGATTTTAACTCACTAGCAGAGCAGAGTCCTTCCCCAAGTGACTCTAGCTCACGGTGGAAGCCACAACCCAAGGTGGCTGTGGGAGCAACAGGACTTCTTTCCCTTTTTTCATGCCCCAACAAGCCCCTCCTGGACTGCAAAGAGTTCTCCTGGCTCCCACATGTGCTCTGCTCCAGCCCTCCTCTGAGAAGGACATCGCTGCACCACTCACCAGGAGGAAGGAGACCCACAGACAGCATTGCTCCAGCAGCAGGGAGGAAAGCTGGAGGAAGGAGCAGGAGCAAAGGCTGCTCTGGCTGCAGGAGCAAAAGGACCTGGGGCTGGGTGCAAACTGACACTGAGTAAGTACTCTTTGAGCAGCGACACTGCCATTTTCCCCCATGGGTCTTACCCAGGTCTGGCCATGTGCTTTGGATGACCCAGGGCAGATGCTTACCCCAGCCGACGATGCATAGCTTTGCCAGGTAGTGGTGGATGTAGGTACCAAGAACTTTGACGAAGAGGAGGTAGAGATGACAGCCTTCCAAAGCCATCCAGGTGAAACAGCAGAGCAGGCAGTAGTGGGTGAAGCCCCCCAGGCCTTTGCACAGCCCTGGCTGGCTCATGCTAGAGATCCAATTGTTGAACAGAAAGGTCAGGTTGAGAAGGAGCAGGCTGCTGATGAGGTTCATATGCAGTGCCATGTTGATCTGGATGGTTTCATCAGACTTGAACTTTTTGTATGTACACCTGAGAGACACCAGAGGGAGCAGAAAAGGCAGAAGGCATGGCTAGTGAGCATGATGGGAGAGAGAGCATGGACTTGGGTGCTGAGGGGGGGAGCAGCATGTGATATAGCAAGAGGGGAGTCCCATCAGGAAATGCTGATGGGAGGAGAGAGGGGAGACTCTAAGTCCCTTGCCCTGGACACCAGCCACATGGCAGTATTGCTCTCTGAGCACTCAGTTCCACTGCCCTGAAAAAATCACCCCTTTCGCTGGAGGACAAGTAGGTCCCAGCATGTCCAGGAGCATGTGGGATCTAGGTATGCAGAGGGACCAGGCCAGGGTACACCAGATCCCAAATCTCTCTTGTCCCTGAGCCTGACAAGTCTCTGTGGAGCCCCAGGACACAGCTGGACACGTCCTACCTTAAGAAGATGTAGAAGACAATGGAGAAGACTGAGAAAGCCACAGCTACCCCACAGCCAACATTTGCAATAACCATCAAGGCCTGTGCTGTGGACCTGTCCAGAGTCGAACTCTGCCAAACACAGACATACATTGAGTTAGCGGGGCCCAGAACCAGCCTAGAAAACCCATCTGCATCTACTAGTGTTATGGGGCAGTGACCTGGCAGGGAGCTGAAGCAGAGATAACAGCTAGTGCTGCAGGGCCATCTCTGCAAGCCTAGGTCCTTCAGATTAGAGCAGTGGGACCGCTGTCCCAAAGACAGTCTCTGGAGGGAGCAGGGAACATGGTGGCTCTGAGAAGATCCAACCTCTATCTGGGGTGCAGGGGAACGAGAAATGAATTAAGTTTATGATGGATCACAAGCCGTCTCTAAACCTCCAGCTGGGACAACAGATCCCTAAGTCTCACTGCTTCAACAGTTTGCAGGTAGGCTGCAGGCCATTTCCACCCTTTACATCCTCCAATAACCTACTCTTGCCCTCCAGGTCACTAGGGTGGCATTGGGTTTGATTTTAGGATGGTGGCTTGGGAGGAGGTAAGACCTGGGCTTGTCTGGGGAGCAGATACAATTGCCTGCCCCGGAAGTGCAGCTATCAATGACACTTCAGGCACCAAACAGCCAAGGGGAGCAGGCAGCAACAGCCAGGGTAAAAGCAGGAGCTGTATGGAGTGGGGTTGTCACCAGGAGGAGGGTGAAGAAGGTCAGATGGTCACAGGAGCAGACTGTCCCCTTGTCCCCGAGCTGAGTGACACATCCACTGGTGTTCCAGCCTCCTCCCTGGCCTGCAAAAGGTACATGGGGAAAGCAGTGAGCGTGAGGCAAAACACCCTCTCAGTGAGCAGATCCCATTGTGGCCACCAGAGAGACCTCAAGCCCAGGCAGAGGGGATACCATAGAGCCTCTTGGGGAGGAAGGAGGCAGTAGGATGGAGGCTATGGTTGCCTTGGCTTGCAAAGGCATGGTGCATCTCTGGGGAGTGGCTTGTCTGCCCATGAAGTAGCCATGACCATGTCACGGCACCATCCTGGCCAGCAGTGAGTAAAAGATGACATAGTTAGAGAAGAGCTCTGAGCACCTGAACATGCAAGTGATGTCAGGAGGTTACAAAGACTTTTGGGGATCCACCTTGTTCTGTTTGTATAGATAACTGCTGTTTAGCAGCTCTTCCTCATCTAAACCCTCTGCACTGGACCAATATCTCTGAATTTCAGAGCATAGTCACAACACACACAAAATCCCACAGATGCTACCCAGATGAACCCCTTGGCTCTAGATGGTCTCAGTCCTGGGAGCCCATCTCCAGCCATCAGGGCATCCCCTGTCCACACAAAGCCCTTGGTGTTCCCAAGCTGACAATACATGGAGGCTGAGGCCATGGCAGAGTGTTTGACCCATCCTCATTCCTAGGCCAGAGGCTTTCACCAGTCATTAGAGGCTTTTGCCGCCACGTTTTGATGACTTTTCCTCAGCAGCCTTTTCCCCTTCCCTCCATGGGCTTTGGCATCACGTTTCAGGAGCCCACTCCCAGTCCTACTGAGGCCATTACCTTTGCTGGGGTCCCAGAAGACGCACTGAGGGCTCACACCCTGTAATGGGAGAGAGCGGCAGTGAGTTGGGAGGCCTTATCAAGGGAGGAGGAATAGCACCAGGAGCAAGTGAGGGAGTGCACGACTAGCTTACGTGGGGCAGCTGCCTGTGATTGAAGATGAGCTGCACGGGGTCCCGGAGTCCAGTGAGCCTCGTATCTCCCACTGTGATGCCCACCACTGTGTTGTCCAGGATGTGCAGTGTCCGGTTGGTCTCCTGCTCGGTGGGGGAGCACTGTGTAAGCTGGTCTGCCCTGGCTCTTCTTGCCCTGCCAAGAGCCCGCAGTTCCCGCCCAGCAGTGGCCAGGCCAGCCCCGGTATGCCCAGGCAGGAGAGGGCCTCCAGTCCCTGCCAAGCCAGCCAAGGGCCCAACATCGCTCTCACAGCCCTGCCAGGGCTCACAGGAGGTGCCCACAAAGGCCAGACCCATGCCCTCATTGCTAGCTGCTGAAGGTAGTGAATGCCTTCCTTGTCAGTGCCCGGGACAGCCAATGGCAGGAGCAGAAGCAGAGGAACGCTGGAAACAACAGCTCTTACCTCAAACATGAAGAGCTGTTTGATATTGAGCACTGTCACCACTACCCTGGCTGTCCAGCTGCTCATTGAGTGAAATAGCGCCCTTGGGAGTCGGATTTTGCTTGCGTTCCCTGCCTCCATTGAGTTTATCCTCTTGGGGCCCTACATCAGAGAATAACGGTGGGAGATTGTTTGCTGGCAGTGTCCCGCTTGTCCCCATCACGTCTCTTCTCAGGACCTGCCAGCATTGCTCCAGACTCAAATTCAGTCCTGCCCAGGTGAGGGTTACTCAGTAAAATTGCCAGGAGGCTCAAAGGCAGAAAGGGAAAGCCTTGGCCCCAGGTGCTTAGTGGGTGAAGGGCAGAGCTGGGAGCAGACCCCCAGAAGTGCTCTCCTGACCTGCTGTCATCCCATGGGGACACGGTCCGTTGGCATGACCAGGCAGTGCGAGAGCCTCAGGGCTGACAGGAGGCACAAGGTCCTGCACACTCTTCCTCTTCCTTGTCCTTGTCTTCACATGGCCACCCTCTCACCCAGCGCTCAATGGGACACACCAGCTTCCCTTCTGGGGAACCTGAGATGGCTGCTCAGGGACAAACGGCCAAAGAAACAGGACTCTTCAAAGTTCTTCTTCATGCAGTGCCTTGTTAATCTGCGGGACTCCTCACCGTGGGATGCTAAAGTTTCTTTGGGTTCAGAAAGCAATTGTGCAGATGACTGGGAGAAAAGCACACTCTGGTACACTGAGCCCTGCCTCTGGCAGTAAGTGAGAGGGCCAAGGAAAGCTTTGAAAGCACGTTGTGCCAGCACAGGCCTCCTGCGATAGCAAAGCACAGGAATTGCCTGGCCTCTTCGCGTGAGCTGTCTGGCAGCCAGGCTCATTAATGCCTGTTCAGAAGGAGAAGATGAGTATTTCTCACCTCCGAGGGGGAGAAGGAGAAGACGACATCGTGGGGGATGGCTCTGCTGATGTTCACCAGCAGCGCTTTCACCCCTGCTATCTTCTTGCTGATGGAGAAGCTCGCAGACTGCACAAACCTGCGGTGCCGAGAGGGCTATCAGAGGGGAGAGCATCAGGGATGCAGCAGTCTCGGCATGCCAGGACGAGATCAGCGGGTTCGATGGGGCAGATCAGCCCTTCCCAGAGGGGTTAGCTCTACCATAGCCACAAGCTAGCACAGGGCTGCTTCCCTCCCTCCTGCTCAAGCACTGGCAGGGCAGGGCTGTGGGCTGGATCCCTTGCTCTGAGGACAGAGGGGACATGCTCCAGAGCAGGCAGATGGGCTCTTCCCACTAGGGCACACTGGTCTGACTCCATGCCCCACCAGAACAGCAAGAGTGGCCTGGGGTACTCCACGTTCCCCAAGCCCAGTCCCCTTCTGCACTGCCGTGGGTTCACCTACCTGTGCATCTTCTCCCTCAGGCACCGGCAAGCCAGATTGCTGGCCCGCCGCAGCCCCTTGCACCGGGCCAACAGCATCACGTTCACGCTGCCCACATCCTCTGGGTTGACAGTGGTGTTACAGCAGTCGTAGCTGTTGTCCCCCCTTTTTAGGGCTGGGAGAAGAGGGAACCTGAGTTATTTCCAGAGGATGCCCCAGCTGCCTCCACCTTGCTGGGCCGCAGGGAACGTGCAGGGAGCCAGGTGAGAGAAGCACAGCTGGAGGTAGCTTTGCCCCTGCCCACTTGGGCTCCAGCCCTTGGCCACAATGGGAGCCCTCGGCCCGGGTGGTACCCCCAGCAGCAGGGCAGGAGCAGGCACCTTTCCCTGTGCTACAGGGTCGGGGCCACCCCCCTGGGGTGGTTCAGGGCATGCGGGGCTCAGGCATGGGGACAGAGAGGCCACTCACCGTCACAGCTGTCCTGTCCTCTGACAGCATCTGGAAAAAGAGGGTGTAGGAAAGGGAGGAAAAAAAACATCCAGGGTCAGTCCTGAGGCAGCATGGAGAAAGGGATCCCTCTGCGCTGCCTTCCCATAGAGGAATGGGGAGAATCAGGAGAAACTGGAAGGTGCCAGGTTCAAAAGAAACAAAAGGAGAGGTTTTCTTCACCCATTTAGTTAAACTAGGACAATCTTGGCTGCAGGCTGGTTTGGCTGCTAAAAATGTGCAAGCTTTCAAAACACAAGTGGATAGACATATGGGCCGGTAAATACATGCCCTCCAGCAGCATGTCCAGCCTCCTCGTGACCATCGCAGCAGTGATCCCAAGCTGCTGGGGATGACTATTAAAACCGGGACCCATCCAGACTCTGCTCAGGACCCTACAGGTAAGGATCCTGCTGCAGTGCAGTACACAGCCCAGCCAGTATAAAGCAGAGAGGCTTAGGGAAAAAGCCTTCCTCTCCCCTCTTTTCTTTCCCAGCTCTCTGTGCATCCCAGGAACTGACCCTCCAGTCCATCCGCGCCCACATCTTGCTCCCTGTGGGCTGAAGCACTGCTGCGGTCCATGAGCCATCCTGTCCCCCCGACAGAGGTACGAGGGTTGCCCAGGCCAAGCCAGCAGCCCAGTGCCAGCTTCCCCAGGTGTGGGCATGGCTCATGCCCCCTCATCTGCGACTCACCAGGCAGCAGCAGGAACAGCAGGACCGAGCTCAAGAGCAGGTGCTTCATGCTGCTGCACTGTGTTTCCTGGCAGCCCGGGGTCCTCACCGGCAGCCCTCTGCTCCCTTGCCCTCTGCCTTGCTCTTTCAGAGGCTTCCCCAGGGCTTGTGGCTTCTCCTGAAGCAACGGCAGTGTCTTCATTTCCCTTCTGCAACCCCCATGCTACTTCCTGTGGATTGGCAAACACCCTGCTTCTCCAACCTCACAGCAACACCGATAACGGTCGGCACTGCTTTTCCTCCCTCCTCAGCACCAGAGCCTGTCCTGCCAGAGTCCCTTGCCCCTCTCGCCCACGGGAAGGACGACCCACCACACCAAACCTCACTTTGCCAATGGCTCCCCGTCCCGGAAAGGGGAGTGCTGGGTCAGGGCAGCCCTGCCACCAGCAGAGCCCGCGTCTCCCGAGTGTCCTGCAGGCACAGCATCTGTACCCGTAAGCCCAGACACCCCCAAGCTTGTGGGTGGGAAGGAGGTGTGAGCATGTGAGGGTGACACAGGGGACATAAGGCAAGGCCCAAGTTTGTGGCCGTACGGGCTCCCTCCCGCTTAGACAGCCGGTCGCTAGGATTCCTCAATGCCAGTGGGCACAAGGAGAGCACCAGAGCAGCAATAACACCTTCTGTGAGAAGGTCTTCCTCCATGACTAGAAGCAACACGTTTGTTGGCAAAACAGCTCAGACCAGGAGGGAGGTGGATTATCCGCAAGCAGCAGCAAAATTTTGCAAAGAAGCTGATGGGATAGGAGATTAAATACTGCATTTGCAAGCTGCACATTTAGGAGATGTGGACTGTGTCAACAAGCACAGGCCTGCATTGTGGCTGTGCTCAGCACAGGAGCAAGCAAGAGACCCACTGGGAGGGATCCTGGCCCTGTGAGACGCTGCAGAGTGATTCCTTTGACTGTTCTTCCCCTTGGCTGCAAAGCGATAGCCACTGGAGACAGTCGTAACGGCCTCTTGAAAAAAAAATTTCCCCCACCTCCTTTGTCACTTCATATCTTATCAAAATTGTGCTTGCGGTGCTTTGCTGATAGTGCATATCTGTCTCAGCCTCAGACTGATATCGTAGGCTGTTTCAGTTACATTAGCACGTGGGGACCTCACCAGGCTGGAGAAACAGGCTGCGAGAAACCTCACCAAAGTTCAGCAAAGACAAATGCCAAATCCTGCCACTAGGTGGAACAACCCCCATGCAGGTGCACAGTGGAGGGCCAAGAAGCAATGGGGGCAAGCTGGAACATGGGAAATTCCCATTAGATACTAGAAAAAAAAATTGCACCGTGAGACTGGTAAGACACTGGAAGGGGGGCCCAGAAACATGGGGAATCTCCATCCTTGGAGAGACTCAGCACTCAAATGGACACAGCCCTGAGCGGCCCATACCACCGTCCCTCTGTGCCTCAGTTTCTCTTGCTGCAAGATGCTGCTGCTGCCCGTGCTCCTGGGTGTGCTGAGGACACCACCTCAGTCCATGCCAGGCTGGTCAAAGGGAACCTGCATGGCACTGAGAGATTCCAGTGGGGCCTGTGGCTCCAAGGAGCCTTTCTGAGCCCAGGCTCCAGCCGAGCTCTTGGGAGGCTCACCCGCACAGATAGCTTACCCATGCGCCCAGGGAGAGAGACCTGGGACAAGCGCTGTCAGAGCAGGAACGTTTTTAATGGGCACAATTCTAATGTACGAGCGCACACGTTAAGCTTCTATAACATATAAAAATATATGGGTATATAGACCCATTCAACAAAATAACAAAAATAGATTATTTCAGCTGCTAGAGGGTGTCGCAGGGGCAGAGTTATTCAGTCTTTGCCGGGGAAATACCCTCTCAGTAACCACTACTGCCGGAAGAAGATGGGACCTCTCCCACCCGCTGCCCCATGACAAATGCAGAGGACGGGCCTGGGCACAATGGAGGAGACATCAGGAGGCACGGGAGACCCTGGCTCTGTCCTCCGCCTGTCGCTGCAGCTCTCGTTCCCAGTGCGAGCGAGGAGGGCCTGGCTCATGCCGTGCACGTCCTTCCATCTGGGAGCCAGCCCCGTCCCCCACGGCTCTGCCCCACACAGGTGCAGGGAGGGGGCTGCTGGCTGAGGGCGCACCCACTGCCCTGGTGGGACCCCAGAGCCCAGGCTGTGGCAGGCTCTCCTCTGCCTCACACGGGGCGAAGGTGAGGCAAAGTGGCATCGGTGGGTGCTGGGCAAAGGGTAGCACTCGCTGCGGCCGGGGTGCATGGGTGCAGCGGGAAGCAGGCGGGAGAGTTCAGCCACAGACAGTGCCGGGCTCTGCACAGCCAGACCCCAGTGCAGGTTTCTCTGCATTCCTAGTAGCCGTGTGGGGCAGGTGCAGTAGCAAAGCGTGACGGCTTCAGCTCCCTCCCTGCGGCATCCTCCTTGCTGGGAGACCCAGCCTCGGCCCAGAGCTGTGCTGGCGAGGGAGCCCCGCGGCGCTGGCAGCACGAGGACTCAGTCAGGATGGGTTTGGCTGCTGTTGGGCTGCAGTTTCATGCTGTCAGAGCTGTTCTGGGAGTCAGGGGACTTTTTCGCCTGCAGCACCATTGTCCAGTACCAGAGGAAGATGAGGAAACCTAGGAGAGGGGTGAGAAAGGGTGGGTTAAGATCTCCTTTGAGAGACCAGCAAAAATAGGATGCAAGAATGAGCTGGACAGCCTGCCAAGGCCAGCTCCTCTTGTACCCATCACTGCTGGTCCTGTCAATACCCCATGAATGCCCCGGGGCAGCTTGTGCCTTTTAGAGGAGCCCATCGCCACAGGCTCACCTTGGAGAGAGTTGATGATGGTGAAGATGTAGAGGGAGACAAGGCGGAAGACACCGGAGGTGAAGGAAAAGAAGACCAGAGCCCATGGGATGCCCAGCAGGACACACAGCCCAAAGAGGGCTAGGACGTGCTTTAACTTGTGGCCTTTCTTGTTCTGCCTGAGGATCTCTCGGACCATGGCCCCCAACATGACCGAGTTAAAGAGGAACACCAGGCTGAAGAAACCCAGGTTCACTATGTTGTGGATCAGAGGACTCGTGATCCAGCATCTAGAAGGTGGAGAAACAGCATAGGGTTATGCTTTGTTGTCCCACAGGGGCACAGGCAGGAGAGGTCAGGGGTAGCCAACATGAAGGTGCCTGGCAAACTCAGCACCCAGCTCAGTCAAACACAGAGGGGCATCCCCCCCACCTTACGCAAAGCCCCAAAGAAGCCACAGGCTGGCAGGCTAAGGAAAGTCTACAGGACACATCAGCAGTTCAACTAGTTGACTTTATCTAAGACCAGGGACCAAGTAACCCATTTACCAAGACTTACATGGTTGCATTGGTGGATTTGCCCCCAATGGATTCATACACCGGAATGGAGAATGGGCCGTAGTTCGTCCAGTTAGCAAAGAAGATCAACGTCACACAAAAAAAGGGAAGACCTGGGAACCAAGAACAGAATGAAGCAGCAGCCATAATCCCCTGGCCCTCAGACCTACTGTAAGGACTCATTGTCCCTTTCTCCTTGTGTGGAGTATGAAACAGCATCTTCTCTCCTCAGGGTGAATCAAGGATAGAGCACGCAACAAGGAGGCCTGGCATTAACCCTAGACAGAGAGTGAGCTGTGCTGCACAGCTGGTGGGTCTCCCAGCATCATAGACTTTTAGGCCACAAAAGATCATGAGATCTTGCTATTGCAGCCTCCTGCCCAAAGCAAGGCAGAGATGCTCAGGTATTTCCTTCACCAAAGCCATCTTTCCTGGCTGTCCTAGATGTTTCTTTTAGAAAGAGAACCTCCCATCACTACTTAAAGACTCCAAGTAGTGGCTGTCACATGCTTCCCTTGCTGGGCAACCCCAAGGGTGAACTGCCCCTGAAGCTATAGCTCCAGCTTCTGCTCTAAGTCATTAAGTCTTCTGCCTTGACAGGAAGACCCACCCCTCTGCTCTCAGAAATCTGCTCCCCAATATCTATGTCTACATCCCCATCCTGGCACCAGGTACAGTAGAAAAAACTTCTAGGGGCAGAATCTGAGTCTACCTATGTGTCTCCTGCATCCTGTTGCCCCAGCCCTTGGGGTGTTTCTGCCTCCCCTAAACTCACCCCAGCCCACCAGGCAGAGCTTGAGGAGGAAGTGATTGTGGTAGGCATTGAAGACTTCAATCACAAGCCGGTACAGGTTGTAGCCCTCAATGCCCATCCACGTCAGGCAGCTCAGAAGAGAGAAGTGTAGAAATAGTCCCCCAGCTCTGCAGGTTGCCTCACTGCTGCTGGAAGCCAAGTGCTCCGAGATGAGGAAGTTGATGTCCAGGAGGAAGATGGCACCCAGTAGATTCATGTGGATGTGCATGCTTGTGATTTGGTCTCGTTGCTTGCTTCTGGAAAAGTGAGAGGGAGAGATCTCACCACCATGCCTGGCCATTTTCCTCAGCTCACTGTCCCACAACACCCCAAGCTGAGTAACTCACCGTAATCAGAAGAGTAAGGTGACCCTCTGTTAGTGTCAGGGGGCTAAGTGCCTAATCCCACACATGGGAACAACTGTTACACATACAAATTTTTTTTGAGGAAAAACTTCTTGACTGTGAGGGTGACAGAGCACTGGAACAGGTTGCCCAGAGAGGTTGTGGAGTCTCCTTCGCTGAAGATATTCAAAACCTGCCTGGACGCGATCCTGGGAAATATGCTCTAGAGGACCCCTGCTTGAGCAGGGAGGTTGGACTAGATGATCTCCAGAGATCCCTTCCAACCTCGACCATTCTGTGTGAAATCCAGATCCTTCCAGCTAGCTCTGCATTGCAAATCCAGATCACAGTGGGAACAGAGTGACATCTTTTCAGCCTCCCTATCATCCATGTAGGATGAGTGACACTACTTGAGAGAACACTCTGCTGTTCTCCACTGGATCCTTGAAAAGATCTTTGCAGGCCTCTGCTTGCTGGAGCCTTGATAACAGCAAAGCTGATTTTCCAAAATCACTGAAAACAGCAGATGTTTTAGAGAGCCCTCCAGGAGACCTGATAAAGAGGGTTGATTTCTGGAGGGAAGGATTCAGTGCATTCTGCCAACCTGGCTCCCTCATCATGTTTCTAGCTGGGCAACCAACTGTGTTTGGAAAGCTTGGGCCCACGTAGGTCTAACGGCAAAGGAAAGGATGCATGCACAGAACGATGTACACATGGAGCTTGGGGTGACTTGTCAGACTGCTAACTCATCTCTGCACCCAGACTCCAGGGCCGTACCTGAAGTAGAGGAAGAAGATGGTGCAAACGGATGCCAAAGCTGAGATAAGGCAGCCAATGTATGTTATGATACTCAGGTAATCCCTGTGTATATAGGCGATCTCCGGGGAGGATACCTGAGGAGAAGGAGGAACGACAACCGTGGTGAGGGAGAAGTTCTGCAGACAGGAAGGATGCAGAGAGCTGCAGGAAAGCAGTACTCACCATCAGTACAGCAAAGTAGGTGAGGTGGTTGCATCTGCAGTCTGTCTGGTTATCCCTCTTCACTGTTGTACAACCGTAGCTATTCCAGTTACCAAAGTATGCTGCAATGGAGAGAACTTGGTGAGCAGTGGGAATCCAATGAGAAACTTTTCTGAGCTTCAGAGCAAGGTGTCCATGGCAGGGGAGAGGACAAAGGTGGGGGTCCTAGCTGGTCCCACGCAGAGCACTCAGCAGTAAGAACAAATATATATATATATAGGACTGCCACCCTCAGAGGCATCAGCACCCACCCCTGGAGAGGGAGAGAGCTGTTAAGTTAGCTACGGAGGGAAAAGCCTGAAATAACCCCATGGGACAGCTTTACAGAGAGCTCACTGGAATTACAGAAAAGAAGGGAGGTGCGAATGACTTGCACTGCTAAGAGGGGGTGTGTGAAGGTAGAGAGGATGTTTTTCTCACTGTTACACACCAGCTGGGTCAGCCCTGCTGGTTCCCCATTGTTGGTACCTGCAACAGCAGAATGAGCAAAGACAATGTCCTGCTTCATACCCAGATGCAGAAGCTCCCACACCCAGATACTCACTGGTGGTGTCCTCCTGCCAGAAGACACACAGTGGGGTCACATTCCTCTGAAATGACAAAAGCATGGCCCCTGATCAGGATGCATCTCTGGGTTTGTCACACAGATGGCAAGCTTGGCAGGGGGAAAGATGGGGCAGGAGGTTAGAGTTCTCAGGAGACAAATTGGGCCATATCGTGAGTGTGGGCTCAAGACAGAGACTGCTCTCTGACACATCTGCAAAATGGCACCTTCTGGACAGAAGGCAGGCAGAGCGCCAGAGAGAGCACAAGATGAAAACGTGGTTGTGGTACAGCCCCAGAAGACCTAGTAGATTTTACTAGCAGGCTGAGGGCATGGACATGGACCTGCTGAATTGTCACCACACTCTGAGCTGGCAGGGTCTGAGCCCTTCTTGCCTCTCTATTCCCGGAGGGGTCAGGTTTAATGAGGCTGTTTCCTCCACCTACCGGCAGCTGGTTGTGGAAGAAAGTGAGGACCACAGGGTCAGAGAGATTGGCCACTACTGTGTTCACCAGGGAGATGCCGACTACCTTGTCACCCAGGACACGACTGCTGTTTTCATCCTGTGGGAAAAAAGGAGGAGACAGTGGCAACGTGGGAAGGGAGAGCTGCCAGGCATGAAGGTGGTGA